ACTTTTGATTTTGGAGAGCTGTTATTTCTCCCTGCCTGGGTAGGGTCTGTGCCCTGTGGGCAGGAGTAAACGTACCATTGAGCATTCAATTATCTACATATTTGTTCTGGAGACTGGCCAGATTGTCACCTGTCATCCTCACTCTTTGGCCCAGTAGAAGGACCTTGACTGGCAGCCCAGGGACAGACGTGGGGCCTCTCTGTAGGACTACTACTCTCCTTCCTTGACACCAGCCAGCATTTCTAAGGTCCCTGCAGCTCCTCCTAGGCTCAAGTCCTCATGACCCTACTCTCCTGGGTTCTGAGTTAAAGAGGTTTTATGTGTGTGTGTTGGGGAAGTGGCCAAACAACCAACTATAATTGGAGGGTGGGCTAAGAGAAGGTTTGAAAACCTATGGCCAAGTCCCAGGCTTCATTCCCTTTAAGAATGGAAAGTGAAAAAGGTGTTTCAGAAAGACGCCCCATGTCCAGGCATGGTGGCACATGCCTGTAGTCCCAGCACTTGGGAGACTGAGACAGGAGGATTGTTACAAGTTCAAGACCAGCCTGGGCTGCAAAGTGACCTCAAGGGTACAGGGATATAGCTCAGTAGCACAACACCTGCCTGGCAAAAGGGCAAGGTCCTGAATTTGATTCCCAATAACAAACAACAAAGTGAAACAATAAGAACAAGGTGAACTCTAAGGCCAGCCTGAACTGCATAGTGAAACCCTGCCTCAGACAGACACAGAGAAGGAAAAGAAACAAAGACATCCCTGCTTGCATCTGGTGAGCACTTTAATCCCAGGTCCCAGGGCTGGCTCACCTAATGAGCCTGGGCCTTTGTTCATGGAGCTGAAGCACCTCCCTCTGCACCTGCCTTGGCAAAACCATGTCCCAGCCACGCTTCTGGGCTCCCTACCTGGGTCCCTGCCACTTGTCCACAGCTTCCAGGCAGGGGACAGCAGGGTGTCTGGTCATCAAGAGCCACAGGTACCAGGCAGGTGTGCCCTTCCTGTGAGCATAACACGGAAGCACCAGGGGTGTGCTGGCCAGGCACAGGCAGTGGGCATGTCCATGTCCTTGTTGGGAACGTTCCTTTGTGATCAGAGTATGATCCATGGCTTTGCCTATTGGCTTTGCCCAGCCATACCATGTCTTCTGGGTCATTGCTCCGTTCCCGCGCTTGGAGCAGAAGTGTGAAGCCACGACAAGGTTGGCTTTCACATCTCTGCCCTTCCTCCCTCCTGCTGCTTCTTTCCCCCTGTGACTGCTCAGACACAAATTGCTCCTGCTGGGCTAGTCATTGGGCGGCTTTCTGCATATTAGTCATTTGCACCATCGTATAACTAAGCATATGTGAGTCGGCGAGTATCTTTGCATCTTAATCTGGGACTACCTTCCTGCACCTATTGTTGAAAGCACATAGGACAGCTGGCCAGGCATAGGAGGTCAGGGAAGGTTCTCCACTCTGAGGCAATACCTAGGCCATGACTGTGGCCCTACAGCATAAGTGAGAATTTTAAAAAATATGTTTTGTCCCTTTTCTTCCTTTTTAGGAGATTGGTTATTTTTAGGGATTTTTGATTGGCTTGAAAGTAATTTTGAGTTACCAGCAAGAAAAACCAATATTTCCAAAGGTGTTCTGAGGTGGATTTCTCTGACATTTGAAGGAGCTCATCAGAGAGAAAGAAAGATTTCTCATCCCTAGAGCAGGACCTGCAGGTGACAGCACACCCTCCCCGGTGTTGGGTGGCTGCCGTCCTGTGCACGGCAATGCTGTGTCCCCAAGTTAGGAGAGCAGTGTGCTGACCAGTGGTGGATGCCAGAGCTCTCTGAGTGCCATG